CCCCAAAACCCCAAAACCCCAAAACCCCATGTATCAAGATTTAAATATCTATACACTGATTTGTAACATATAATTTAAAATTTAAAACTTAAACTTAATGGAATAATATAAGATCACAGATTTTAATACTGCATTCTAAATTGGGATTGAGAAGCTTATATATGATTCGATTAATGAGCACTCTAAGAAGGATAAAGATCCAGAAGAATTAAAATTGAAAAAAGCTTTGAAAATCATGAAAAAAGAAATATTCGTAATTTCTAATCAACTCACTGACAAATTTATAGGCTAAGTTGAAGGTTTAGTATCAAGATAATGACAAAGATGAAGATCTTAAATGGATCCTATTTTCACTCATTGATCCATCTAAACCATAAAAGAAAGATAAGGAGCCTAAGATTGAAACTGAAAGATTTGTCACTTTTATTCATAAATATTACTACGACTAACTAAGATTAGAAGCTTTGGTAAGAATTATGAAATCTCAAACTTTGTTAGACTGATCCTTAAAAGGAAGAAATGCTCTATCAGAATGCTGTTGAGATTAAAGAATTAGAACCAGATATTGGGAATCTTGAAAATTAAGAAGCTGTCATTAATGGGACAATGCTGTTTGATTAGATTGATTTGGCTCAGATAGCAGTAAGAGACAATGGAGTGATGAAAATTGAGAGAGGGGCAGCAATCAATAAAAAATTTAAGTATTTCAATAATACAAACGAAGAACTTAACATTGAAATAATTTCAAATATACCCTAGATAGTATGCGTAAAAACTCCCCAACTAACTATTCCTCGTAATGGAGGTTTTGATTTTATTAAGTTTTTGGTCCTTGCTCCTAAAACGCCTTGCTATATAGATGCCAAGATTTTGATTAGAAATCAGGATAGCAAAAATTTAGAAGAATTGATTATTTTTAGAGTTGATATTGATTGATTGTATTTTTATTAATAGCTTTTGAATAAATATTTTATTGGATTAAAAAATGAGAAGATTATTTTCTACCTAGATTTAGTAAAATAAAAGGCTTTTGCTAGATGGATATAGAGTAATTGATTCTTCAAGAATATTAGTCGGAGCTTTTACATCTTTAATGCTTGCAGACATGGGTGCTGAAGTAATTAAAATAGAGTAGCCTGGAGTAGGAGATGAGACTCGTAAATGGGGTCCTCCATTTAGGGGTAAAGATTCAACTTATTTCATTTCAATCAACAGAAATAAAAAGAGTATGACTGTAGATTTAAAGCATGAATAAGGAAGACAAATAATCTACGATTTAGTGGGGAACTAGAGAGATACAATATTTCTTTCAAATTTTACTCCTAGTAGACTTGATCAACTAGCTATAAATTATGAGAGTTTGAAAAAGTTAAATTAATCTCTCATTTATGCTTCTGTATAAGGATTTCCATTAGATTCAGAATTGAAAGATAAGGCTGCTTTCGATTTAACCATTTAAGCGATGAGCGGATTAATGGATTGCACAGGAGATCCTCATGGAAGTCCATTTAAGGTTGGCTATGCTGTTACAGATGTATTAGCTGGCATGCATTTGCTATAAGGTGTAATGGGAGCAATTATTCACAAAGAAAGAACTGGAGAGGGATAATTTGTGAACACCTCATTGCTAGAAGCTAATTTATATTCCCTATGCTATGTTGTCAGGTAAAATAGTTTGCATTAAAAACCAAAATAGCTCATGGATGAATGGATAAAAAGAGTATAAAAGAATGGGAAATTCTCACCCTATCATTGCCCCATATAGTGTTTTTATGACAAAGGATGATTAATTTATTGTGATTGGAGTAGCTACTGACTTGTAGTTCAAAAAGCTTTGTGAACTAATCGATCTTCCTTTAAAAGATATTTATAAAACAAATAGGGATAGATGCTAGTATAGAGATTTACTAAATTAAGAAATCTAAGTTTAGCTTACTAGAAATTGGAATAAAGCTGAATTAATATCTGGTATGAATAAAATGATTATCCCTTTCTCAGAGATTCATTCAATTAAAACTTTATTTGAACAGCCTGAAATTCAATAAATGGATTTAATTAGGTCAATTCAATCTTCTAATTTTGGAGAAGGTGAACTTAAATTCTCTAAAAATCCACTTCATTTTGAAAAATTAGATAATAAAGACATGATTGAGCCTCCTCTATTAGGGGAAAATAACTTTGAAATATTAAGAGATGTATTAAAATATGATTAATCGAAAATTGATTAGCTTAGAGAAAATAAAATTATTTGAGCTTAAGTTAATTTGAATTTACTAATCAATGGGGTTTTGGGGTTTTGGGGTTTTGGGG